GACATTTGGACAGGGGACGGCCGGCTCCTTTCCTGTAGCCGGGCTGGGTGTCAGGGGGGCGCCCAGGACGGGGAAGGGGAGGAGGTTGGGCCCGGACGCCCCGAGGCCGGGGCTGCAGGCCACTGTCCGTCTCCTCCCTGCCCCGGGCCTGCCCTGGGCACTGCCATTCCTTGGGCCGAACGCGGTGATCTCCGCCCCAGGCCCTCGTTCTGTGGCCGCCCCATGAAAGGGCCCATTCATGCCCCAGGCCGCTGGCTTGGGTTACCTCGGCCGGCCGGCTGGTCTCCGCCACCTCTGTTTTCTTTTCATTAGAAGGTTTCCCATATTGAAGGCCTGCGAGAGGCTGAGAATGTCGGGAGCCGCCCGCGGGGCCCAGCACCTTCATGAATGAGTCGGACTTACTGGGGCGGATGGGGAAACTGAGGCTCGGGCCACGTGGCTGGCAGATGGCAGGGTTGGGGTTTGGACCTGGGCCGCCAGCTGCCTGCTGCCCTGCTGGGAGGAGCCTGGGAAAGACGGGAGTCCTGAGCCAGTGGGCAGGGCACGGAGGTCTTTCTGGAGGCGAGGGAGGGCTAGGAGAGCTGTCAGTCCCGGCGAGGGTCTGCCTCAGGAAGTCCTGCACAGCCCAACCCTCTGCTGAGTCCTGGGTCCCTCGGCCTGGGCTGGACCCCCGCCGGGCCCAGGGGCACGCAGCCCCCACGTGGGAGAGCGCGGGGCTGTGCGTGACATATGGCGGGAGGGTGTGCCTGTGTCTGTGTGTGACACCCTCCTCGGGAAGAGCACCCTCTCCTCTCCCTCTTTTTGCTCACAAGCAGGGCCACTGGGAAGACAGGAAGACAGGCAGAAACAATCGCGATCCAGGCGGGTGTCTGAGTCACGCCACCGTCAGTCTGGAATGTCTCCTTGGAAAGCGGCTGCCTCTGCTCCAGCCCCACCCGCGCGGCCACCGCTCAGGCCTCCCGCGCTCCCCCTCCCTCCTCCCCCCCACCTTCGCTGGGGGACCCACCCCCATCGCAGCAGACCCTGCAAAGGCCCCAGAAGCTCATCAAAGCAGCTTTTACGCATGCCCGTTGGGGACCTGAGCTGCACCCGTGCAGGAAAGCTCGCGCCATGCTTTGTAGATAAAGATTGATTCATTTGCATTTTGTACTTTCCCTAATGTCCTCTAAGGCCTGGATTTTTTTTTTTTCCCTGCTGTCAGGAAGGAGACTTGTAGGTAGGTCCTGCCCCCCGGGTGCCTGAAGGGCCAGAGGGGTCATCAAGGTCCCTCGTGTCCTGGGACCACTTGGTCCTCCTCCCCTGGACACCGCTACTATGTCCGACAGCTCAGAGACCCCCGGCCACTGTCTGGAGGAGCTGGGGCTGCCCCGCCACCCCACGGGTCCTGCTTTGCCCTCCCAGCCTCTCAAATCCTCCCTGGCTGGAGGGCATCACTGTTGCCACCTCCCAGACCAGGAGGCAGAAACTCAGAGAGGTTGCTGACTGGCGCAAGGACACACAGCTGGCCGGGCGCAGCGGGGGACAGAGGCCAGGCCTGCCTGTGCCAGCCTCCCTGCGTTCACGGACTATTTAGCAAATTCTGCCAACATTACGTCCCTAACGTGGGTTCCGTGGAGCCCACAGGGACGGTGCACAGGGCACACCGTCCTCGGCAGGTCGATGTCTGCTGCGTCCGTGCCGAAGAGGCTCTTCGTGGGATGGGGCCGCAGAGCCCCCGAATCCACACTCCCCCGTTAACCAGCAGGACCCCTGAGGAAGTGAGGGGCGCCCAGAAGGCATCTCTGTGAGGCCGGCAGCGGGCTCCCAGGGCTCAGCCGGCCACCTGCCACCATGCCCTCACCCTGGACTCGGCCAGGAAGCCAGCGGCAGGCAGAGGTAGTCAGCGATGGGACAGTCTCTACCATGAACTCCTGCGTCCTTAGGCGGGCCCCCTGCTTCCTCCAGCCTCAGCCTCCCCATCCAGCAAAGGGGGCCAAGGAGCCCAAGATGGCAGGTGACGCTTGCCGGGAAAACTCCAGGAGGGTTGAAACACCCGACCCGGCACGTCACAGCCACAGGCCTGGTCCGGGGTCTGAGGTCTCATCTCCCAGGGATGAGGGTCTCGTCCTTGGGGATCCCACTGGAGAGGACCCACCCTCAGGGCAGGGGTGGGCATCACTTCCGAGGTGGGAGGCTGCCTGGACGGATGGGTGTCCCCATGCCAGGCGCTGTCAGTGCCAAGCTGGAACGGCCACGTGACACTGTAACCCCTGGAATCTGCTGGTTTCACTCCTCCCGCCCCTGCTCTGGCTTTGGGGCCGCGGTTTCATTTTGTCATCGGGCAGAAGTTAGGGGATGACTCAGGAGCTGACTGGCTCTCCCAGCACACGCGTGGGGCCCAGGGAGCCTCTGCCCCTTGGGGGTGGCCAGTGGCAGGCAGCAAGGGGACAGACGGGCAGTGGGAGAGCGGGGCTCCGTGTCTGTGACTTTGGGCAAATCGGGTCAGCACCCCTGCGAGGTTGCCTCCTCTTGGGAAACTTCCAGCTCTGTTGCTTCTCGAGGCAGAAGCTGGGCCTCCCACGGAGGAGACCCTGCCGGCCACGCCCCCTCCTCAGAGCCCCACGGGGGTGTCCTGTCGGGCAGCTCTTCCTGGCCAGGGGGCTGCAGCTCCACATGCAGCTGAGGGGGCAGTGAGGAGGGAGAGAAGGCTCTGGGACCCAGAGGCCTAGGTCACCAACCAGCTGGCGGCCGCTGGCCCCGGGGTTTTCACCCTCGGTACCGCCCAATAATCCTTCGTTTGGGGGCCGACCTGAGCTTCGCAGGAGGTTCAGTAACATCTCTGGTGTCTGCCTGATGGATGTCATAGCAGCCCCCCGACTGAGAAGCGCTGGGTTTCACGCCCAAGCAGGTGCGCTTGGAGGATTGGGGCAGGGGCTTGGGGGCTGTCCAGAGTCGCCAGCCTGGAGGGCTGGGCTCCCAGCTGTGTGGGGTGGCGGCCCTGGAGTAGGAGCGGCGCGCCACGTGGCCTTGGGCGTGTGAGATGGGGAGGGTAGTAGGCTGCCTCCTAGGGTGGTCAAATTCATTCACTCGTGCAGCACCTGTGCATCAGCTCTTAGGACTGTGGTCACAGTGGCAGCACGGAGTGAGGGCCTCTGTCGCTTCTGCACACTCGTGAGAGAGAGCGCGCTTCTCACACAAGGGGTGCACGGGTGTACCACGCTGGACACACACACACACACACACACACACACACACACACACACACACGGGTGAGCTCTGAAACTGTGGCCTTTCTTAGAAACAAGAATAGACCCATTAGGAAGGATCCGGAAGGAAATACCTTCTGGGAACTTTGTCTGAGCCAGGGGACCCCCGGCATTAGAAACTTTAGGAAACCAACTGATTGAAATACCGATTAACTAGAGGGGGTTTCTTAGCCCCTTCCTGTGCCGCCTTCCATGGAGAGGGCGATCCCAGGACCCTGAGGCCCAGAGTGATGCCTCGGAAACGTGAGCCGGGGCTCGGAGCCCCTGAGCGCCGGCGGGGCCAGGAGGCGGGGCCGCTGAGCCCCCCCTGAGCGCCGGCAGGGCCGGGAGGCGGGGCCGCTGAGCCCCCAGCCCCTTGTCGATTCAAGCTTTCAGGACAACTGGCAGGAATTTCTGGAACCTCCTCAGATGCTGAATCGAGCAGCCGTAGGAAAATCAGCTTTGATTCGCGGTGTGTTTCAGCTGATTATGAATTGTACGTGCGGAGCTCAGCGCTCGACCCCTGACGCAGAGCCATAGGCCGCAGGCGGACCGGCAGCCCATTCACTGTTTCCACACCCGCGCGCAGGATTCTGGGCCAGAGGCCCTGTGTTACCTATGCCTTGCTTTACATAATAAAGGCGTTCCTGAGAGGGTGTGAAACCTGAACTCTGTAGCCCGAGCAGCACCCTCAGGGGGAACGTGGTTCAAACGACTAGTTCTGAAAGGATGCCTTTCTGCAAAGTGAAGCGTTCCCCTCAATTTCACTTCTCAGAAGTGCCCTAAGCCCGTGCCTTGGTTTGTCTGAAGTGGGGAGGGGCAGCATCTGTTGGTGGACGCCCCCCATGAGGGCTGCCCCCTGACCTTGAAGGACCCACATGTCCACACCAAGGACCGGCCTCTCGCTCCTGCTTGCCCCAGGATAGCCTGTGTCACACACACTGGGCTGTGTGGCTTTGGGCAGATCCCTTGCCTTCTCTGGCCTCGTTTGTGATGAACCACTGAGCGGCTGACCTGTTAGGGTCCCTCCGGCTCTAGGGACCTGCATGGTTCCAGCTCCCCACCATCTGTGTTCCAGCCTGGCACAGGCAGAGGCTGGACTGGGGGTGCCCAGAGCAAAGGCACTATGATTTTAGGGACCATCAACTCCCACCTTCAAGGCATGGGGAGACCTCCAGCTGAAGTTCCCCAAGCAGGTGCGAAGCGACAGTGGTGTGTGCGCCCCCCCCTCAGCTCATCCTCCCCGCCAGAGGCACAGGGGGAAATGTTTACCCGGCCCGTACCAGGTGAGGGCTGGAGAGAGGGCCGGGCGGGGATGGAGATAGGGGAGCGATGGGAAAGCACATGGGTACGCTCACGCCACCAGTTTGGGAAGTCGTGCTAAACCCAGCCTTTGCCTCTGAGCACAGCAGGCCCTGCCAGTTTTGGGGTGCGCTGGCAGCGGGCCTGGGCAGCGTTTGCTGGCTTACGTACCTTTCCCATCAGGACCCCCATCACTAGGGTGGATCCCCCTGAAACAAACACCTAGGAAGAGCGGTGCTTAAAAATAGCGGGGGGGGGGGGGGGGGGGGAAGCAAAGTTTGTAACTGAAGCCGCCGCCGGTGCCTGGGGGCAGACCCCGCGGCCCGCCGGAGCACCCAGCCGGCTGCTGGGAGCTTGTTTGGAGAGGACTTGGCCCGCGCGGCCCGACCTGGGAAGCGGGTGGAGGTTGCTTTCCTCCTTTCCCCACCCCGCCCCGGAGGGGCAGAGCGCTGCGCGGCCCGGGCGGGCCTGCGGTCAGGGATGAGGACTGCGCCTCCGCGCCGCAGAGCGCTGCGCGCGGGCCGGGCGCCGGCAGCCGCCGCTGCCGTTCTGGGAGCTCGTTCGCATCCGCCAGCGCGGCGAGCGGCGCGGGGCCCTCGGAGCGGGAGGTGAGTGTGGACGCGCCGCGCCCCGCGCCGCCCGCGGCTCCCGGGCAGCGGCACTAGCTCGGGCGGCTGTGGAGGGACTCGGGGCTCGGTCCCCGGGGTCACCTGGCTGCCCGCTCCCCGCCGCGTCCCCGCACCCTCGGTGGCGCGCCCTGGCGGGGCCGGACGGACCCTCCCGGCCCTCGCTGCTCCGCGGCTCGGCTGCCCCGACCTCGCTCCCCGCCCGGGACGTGCAGCGCCGCAGACGCCAGGGCGCGCCGGGGGCTCGGCGGGGGCCGCGGCCGTGCCGCCTGGCCTCAGCCCTGCCCGGCGCCCTTGACAGAGCTTGGGCCAGCTCCGCGGGACACTTTGCAAAGTGCAGCCCAAGTGGCCGCCGAGCGGTGGGTTCCGGGGAGCTGGGAGCCGCCGGGCCGGACTGCGGGGAGCGGGGGCCGGGCGGGGGGCGCGAGCGGCCGTGGGCCGGCCATTCATTTCGGATCGCAGCAGTTGGTCCCCGAGCCGGGCCGCTGCCTCCTCTGGGTCGCCCCTGGGCGTGCTGGCCCCGTGGCACTCGGACACTGCGGCGGAGGCAGCGCGCGGAGCAGGGTGGGGTCTTCCGACCGGGGGGCTCCGCGCCGCTGTGCTCCTGCGGGGGGAGGCCACGCGGCGCCCCAGCCCGGCCCGCGCCCCTGGCTGGCTTGGCGCGCCGAGGGAACCGGGCCAGAGGGACCCGTGGGGACGCGGCGCCGCACGGCGGCGGCCGGAAGGGAAGGCCAGCCGGGCTCGTGGGGACTTCCCGCGGCCACCAGACCCTGCCCCTGCACTGTTCGCCGCGGGGTGGGGGTGAGGGCAGCGGGGTCGGAGGGACAGGCCTCTGGGTGCAGCGGTGGCGGTGGGGGGCTCCTGCGCCGTGGCAGCTGCTCAGGCCTTTAACCCTTTCCGGACTGGCGCTTGAGCAGACACTATTTGCTGTGTAGGGACTGTGCCACGTGTTACCGCGTTGATCCTCATATCATGAGCTAGGTGGTGCCCCATATTCTAGATGAGGAAACTGAGGGCCAGAGAGGTTAGGTAACTGGGCCAGCGCAGCACAGCTAGTGAGCAGCAGTGGCTGATAGCCCCTCTCCATTCCACCAGATAGACTCCACGTCTGCCTCTCGGTTGAGCAAATGTGCACTGAGCCCTCTCAGCGCCCCACGATGTCCCAGGCATCCCCTGACCCAGCAAAGACCACTGCCTTCCTGATAACAGGCAAGGTAACAGGCAAAATGCCGGGGACAGTATCAGACACGGAGCTGCTGGGGCGGGGGCCGGGAGGGGGGGGAGGTGGGGCGGAGTTACAGTTCAAGGAAGGACAGCCAGGGCCACCTCTGAGAAAGTGGCCTGGGAGGGCATGCCCTCGTGTACCTTGTGCCCGGCCTGGCAGGTCCAGAACCACGGGGCAGAGCCTGCCAGGAGCCTCCCTGTGAGGAGGAAGAGGGGGAATCCTGTTTGAAGAAAATAGGAAGGCCAGGCCATCTCAAGGGGGACCGTGGCCCCTACAGCGTCTCAGCCTGGTGAAGGATGTGTGGCCCCACACCCGAACCCCTGTCTGGCTGCCACCCCGGGCAGTGTGGAAGCAGCAAGTCCCAGGATTTCAGGGTCAGAGGGAACTTAGAGGTCATGAACTTCAACCCCCTCATCTGGGCTTCGGTCTCCACCAGACTCTGCCTCTGGGTTACCGACTCTGCTTGAATACCCCCGGCGACGGGGAACTCACTCCTGTCACAGCAGCCAGGTCCCACCCCCGAAATCCGCCGAAGGGTTCCAAGAAAGCTCTGCTGCAAGTAGAGCAGAAAGCCTCCTACCTGTGGTTTCTGTCAACTCCAGTCCTGTCATCCGGGGGCAGCACACTTGGGTTCACTCTCACACACGGTTGCCTCTGCAGAATGTTAATAGAGAGATTACGTCCCCTTTTAGCCTCCTCTTTTCAAGGCCTGCGCCTTTTCCAACTTAACTTCCAGGCCAGGCACCTTCCCGCCTCCCTCCCTGGGAGAAGGTCAGCGGGTCTCCACCTGGCTTCACATTTGTGAGCACCAGGGTGGCCGGGAAACAGAGACCTGCCCTCACCTCCTTTCTTCTGGAACCTTGCAACCATTGATGGTGCCAAAGACACATGTGCTCCTGGACATGGGCTCACACTTCTGCTTCCTCCAGAGCCCTGAGACTTCCGCGCCAAGCCCCACCCCATCCCTGTTGGTTCTGACTGTAAGAATTCAGTTACCCTCTGCTTCCTCGTCCAAAAGGGAGGGGCTGAGAGTGAGGGGGAAGGCAGTGCAGATCCAGAGCGCAGGCTGCAGAAACAGCTGTCCACGGGCTGTGTGGGCAAGTCACCAGGACAGTGGGGGACTTCACAGGGCGTCATGGGACAGGCTGAGGGACAGAGCGCCGGGGCACAGGCGAGCATCTCAAGTGGGCAGATGCTGCGAGGTTACTGCCCTTGGGGTCACGGAGACTCCGAGGGGTCGGTGGGAGGGGTGTGGAAGATGCAAAATACTTGAAAGGGTGCGACGTGCCAGCTGCAAGCCCAGGACAGGGAGGCTGTAGGGAAGCGTCGGGCAGCCGAGGCAGGACGCAGCCTGGGTCCCGGCGGGCCCCGGGCACTGTGCAAGCAGCCCACCCCCGCTGGCCTGCCCACCTTGGCTTTGGTTCACTGTAGATACGTGGTGAGGAAGAGAGCTGGGAAAGCGCATGACCAGCCCACTCTCCTGCCCGCTGCAGACAGAGCTGGAGCTGGAGCCCAGCATTCAAGGCAGCCACGGTCCCGCCCGTCCTCTCCCGGACACCCTCCTGGTCCATTCAACATCCAGGATGCTAGCTCCTGCTTCCCACCTCGCAGCCTGGACACCTGGCGTCCTGTCCCCCATCTCCACCGTCCCACCTTCCCCTGTTCCGCCCGCAGTCTTTCTGGCACCCCACCTGTCATCACCTGTGGGCCTGCCCATCCCCCGCTAGACTGTCCCCCCATGAACAGCAAGATGATGCCGTGCTCAGAGCTCTGTCCCCGCCAAGCCGTGCAGTGCACTCCGCACCCCCCGGCTGGGGGACTCTCAGGATTTCTATTGCCAACCTCGTTCTCTGATGGAATCGGGGGCTGAACTGAGCCTAGTGGAGGGCGGAGGGTGGGGACGGGGTGAGCTCTGTGAGACATCCTTGCGATTGCCTGGGGCTAGTTTATCCTCACCTTTCACCTGGTGGCCATAGCTGGGGTGGCAGACGCCGTCTTCAGGGGCTGATCGCAATCTTGTACTTCCCTCAGCCCCACCATCTCCCTGGGTGGAAAGAAAAGTAAGACCGTATGGTTGGGCAGGTTGTTCAGTGCACAACGGCGCCGAGCCTGTACTCTGCTCAGCAGGCCTCCCTCCGCACACCCAGGCTGTGTCCACCCTGGGGGTGCCTTGTCCTACACACCCAAAGGGCCTGGAAGCGTGAGTGGCAGCCCCACCATAGACGTGTATGCCCCGCACGGACCGCTTTCTTTGCTCGCGAGGACCGCGCACACGGTGCCGTCACGTGTGCACCCTGGAAGCTGCCCTGCAGCAGGGCCGAGGCCTCTGTCATTTCAGACTCGGGATTCCCTCCTTCCTCGGGTGCTTTCAAGCGCTTCGGCCCCTCAGCCTTCTTGTGGGTCCACGTCACTCCTGCAGGTGCCCCCTTGGACTGGCTCTGCCAGGTCCCCTTGGGGAAGGGTAGGAGGCAGGGGGGCCGGGGGGGGCCGGGCCTGGCTGTGGCCTGCGCTGTGAGTTCCTGCAGCTGGTCTTCAGCGCCCGGGGCCCCGCCCCTGCGCACGGCCGGCCTTCGGTCGCGCGTCCTGGCTCCCGGTGACCAGAAAGTAAGATCAGTGACTGCACTGGCAGGACTTTGGGGGCCGTGACCCCGGCGTCAAACTGGAGGTTTTCTGCTCATTACTCACCCCAGTTCTTGTCAGGATTGAAGTGGTCTCTTAGAATTACATCCTTGTCTAAATAAAGCTGGCATTTTGAAGGACAGTTCCAAATATAAGCTCCTTTTATGAGCGTGGGGAGAGCTTGAGGATGGAGGGGGGCTCCCTCCAAAATGCGGGGCTAGTCTGGGGGACCCTGGGGGCTTACCTGCCACATCTCGGCACCGTCGTCCCAGGCCCCCTCCCCGCCCCGTCTTCCCCATCACCCAGAGCGAGAAGCAAGAGGGGACCACGGCCTGCCGCCCAGGAGCTGGCAGCACAGCTGTCCTTGCCTCCCCCAGGGGGTCCTCACACCCACAGCTCTCACCCTCCCACACAGGGGTGGGGGTCACTCGAGTGAAAAATGGGTTTGGGGTGAACTCAGAGCCGGGGTCAAGGCCCTCTCAGCCTCCCCAGAGGCCATAACTAGGCAGTGGCCCCCTGGGGGCCCAGTTTGCATCACAGAGAGGGCCAAGGGGAGGTGGCCTTCCAGGTGCGTCCTTACGCAGCTGCCTGTCCTGGGCTCGGCCACCACCTGTAGCCAGGGTCAGCAGCCAGTGGAGGGGGGAGGGACCGTACAGGTGAGGGCAGGTGGACGGGACAGGGACCCGGGACCAGAGCAGCCTGCTCCGCCGTCTCCAGCCCCCTGGCGGGCAGGCAGGCGGGAGCCAGCGGCCGGCTGTCTGCTAACAGCCTCTGTCCTGACTCTGGGCTGCTCGCAGGCAGGCATCCCAGCCAGCAGCTAAACAGAATCCACATTCATGAGCGGCCCTTGAGTCTTTCCAAAGGCCCGGCCCGCCGCCCTGCAGAATGTGACCATTGCATTTTCTGAATTCCTCCGGGGTGGCCGGGCCAAGGTGGCCGTGTGTAAACGGGGACTGCTTCTCCGGGCCCTGCATGTGGCCGGCCGGGCGCTGCCCTCTGGGGACGCTGCAGAACCGGGTCTCTCTGGGTTCCTGGCTAGGGGCGGGGCCCGGGGGGTGGTCAGTGGGGAATTGCCACGGCCGTGGCTGGACGGGGCGAGGGAGCCAGGACCAGGTCCTGGTACTGGAGGAGGTGGCCCCGTTGGCGGAGGCTGTGGTGCTGTGGGCTGGTGGGCACCTCGCGTCCTACGTCAGCCCTACTCAGCAGGAACCTTGTTTTTAAAAATACATAGAGAGAGTTCATGTATCAGAAAATTCACCCTTTTAAAGTGTACACGCCGCCAGTGGTTCTTAGTGTGTTCACAAGGTTGTGCAACCATCACCACCGTGTTGTTCTAGAACATTCTCATCACCCCAGAAAGAAACCTGGTGCCCACTGGCAGTCGCTCCTGCCCCTCCGCCAGCCTTGGCAACCGCTAAGCGACTTTCTTTCTCTACGGATTTGCCCATTCTGGACGTTTCACGTGAGCGAAACCACACAGTGTTTTTCTTTCTGTGACTCTCTTCCCTTGGCGTGGCGTTCACCGGGTTCATCTACACTGAAGCCGGGATTGAAACTTTGCTCCTTTTTAAGGCTGAATAATATTCCAGCGTGTGCACGACCACGCGGTGCGTATCCATCGTCCGCGATGGACACCTGGGCACTTTCACCCTTGAGCTGCGTGGATGACTGTTCTGTGAACATGCGTGTACAGGCGTTTGTGTGGACGTGTGTTTTCGGTTCTCGTGGGTAGACATCCGTGGAGTCACGTGGTCACTCTAACCTGTCCAGGAGCTGCCAGACCGTTCCACGCTCCAGCTGCACCATTTCCCGTTCCCGCCAGCGGGTAAGGGGATGGGGACCTTACCCTCTTTCTGTGGACAAGGAAACTGGGGCAGAGAGGCAGAGGCGCTGGCTTGGGGTCACTTGCCAGGAAGAGGGGCCCGGATTCAACCTCTGCCTGGACGCAAAGGGGAGACGGAGGCAAAGAGTGGCCGTCATGACCCCGAGGCCATGTCTTTAAGGACAGTCCCGCAGTCTTGCAGGAGGCTCTGGCCCCCGCCCCTCCCAGAGGCATCTCCCCTGAATGAAAGGGAGGCCAGGTCCCCTTGAGGCCAGACCCCGCTGCTCTGCTAATAATGTATGGTTGCCCGCGCTTCCCCCAGCCTTCCCGAGGGGTTTCTTCCCAGGGTGACTGTGCCCTCCGACAGGGGCCAAGCACATCACTCAGGGACACTGGCTCTGAACTGACACTATTCCCAGGAGATACCAACATCACTTGCTGAGATCAGGTGACCTATGCAGTGTTAGCTCAGGTCCGTCCAAAAGTGGGCCCCGTAACCTGTTCCGTGATTACTTCCATGGTTCCAGAGCACACGGTCAGAAAAGACAAGCCCAACAACTAGCGGGGTCCACGGTTCTCACCCCAGAGAGGTTATAACACTTGCCCAAAGCCCACCCAGCAGAGAGCAGTCAGAGGGGTCGGGGGCTGGGGCCAGGTGTGCCCTCCAGCTCCGTCCAGGGGCGTGCCCTGCCCCGGGCACTCCCAGGCTGGCTCTCGCCATGCAGCCAAGCACGTCATGCTTGGGCCCAGCACAGGGAGCGAGGCGCTGGGGCTCGGTACCCCGACCCGGCAGGCTGGCTTTTCCTTAGCTGTGACACGCGGAGACTGGGGGGAGGTGGGGTCCTCCCTGGCGGCCGCAGAGCGACACCACAGGTGCTGCCTCGTGCCTGCGTCTAGCAGTCAGTCATCTGCGCGGGACTGCCCGGGCCAGGCTGTGCTCCAGGCCTGGGCCGCTGTGACCGGGCCACCCCCTGAGTCCTCCTGGGGGCAGCGACTCCAGGAAAGGGGCGAAGGGGGCGTCTGGGCGGGGTCAGGGGAGGCCGGGAGGAAGAAGGTATTCCAGGGGCCGATCCCAGAAAGAGGAGAGCAGGAGCAGGGGAGGCCGGGGGGCAGCACGGGCCCGGCCAGCCGCCGCCCTGGGGAGAAGAGGGCGAGGTGAAGCGGCCGCCTCCCTCACACAGCTCCGGGTCAGCCGGGCTGCGCACCCGCCCTGGTTCTTACCGCACCCTTCTTTGTCCCAGGGGCCCGGGGGGCCACGCGAGAGCAGCCGCGGGGAGGGTGACGCCCTCGCGGGGCCCTGGCCAGGGCTGCAGGGGGCACGGCCCCCCTTCAGCAGTCACACCCCCACTCAGTCGTCGGGCTGGTCTGCACCACGATGGGAGGGTGGGCACTTGGCAGGCGCCGGAGCGGCGGCCAGTGCCGGGTGCCCGTCCCCCAGGAAGCGGGGCCGCTGAGGCACAGAGGGAAGGGCCTGGGCCCGGCCAAGGGGCAGGTCGGGCCGCCAGCGCATCCGGCCCACCTCCTGGCCTGTAGAACCCCTGAGAGGCTGGAGCTTCGCTGCCCGCGCCCCTGCCCTGCGGGGCCGCCTTCAGATCGAGGGAGCCCGAGGCCGAGGCCTGCCCTCGTCGCAGCCAGTGGCCGTGTGCAGCCATCGGAGCAGGGGTGTGCGTGCATGTGGGCGTGTCTGTGAGCCTGTGCCTGTGTGTGTTGTGGGGTGTGCACGTGTTGAGTGAGTGCACACGAGTGTGTCACGCGTGTGGGTACATGTGAGTGTGCTTGTGTGCGTGTGGGTATGCACGTGTGTGTGCCTGTGTGCACATATGTGAGTGTTGTGTGCATGTATGACATTGTGTCACGAGTACTGCACATACACATATAATACGATATAACCAAAGTACACAGGTAAGTTTAAATATTCTAGAAACTACATTTAAAAACAAAAAAAGAAACGGGTGAAATTAATTATATTTAAAACAGCACGTCCAAAAGGCCATCACTCCGACATGGGATCAGTACAAAATCAGTGAGGCAGTTTAGGTTCTTGAGGTCCAGTGTGTGGTCGTGGCCGCCGTGCAATGCTGGTCTCCAGGTGCCCTTCAGCTGTGGAATCCCTGACGCCCACCCCTAGCACAGGGCCCCTCCCCCATCCAAACCCTCCTCACCCTTCTCACTGCTTCCTCCAGGAAGTCTCTCCAGACTGCACTTCCCTCTCTGGGCCTCAGTCTCTCCAGGTGGGGTTTGTGACCCTGGAGCATACTCCCGTCTCACCCAGGTCTGCTGAATCAGAACTGCCAGAGGAGGGCCTGGGGTCTGCATCTTCATAAGCTCTCCTGGTGCCGTTAAGGCTTTACCCACGTTGAAGTTCAAGACCCTCTTAAGCCCTTATCTTTTTGTCCCTAGATGCCACGTTCTAGGTACGCTGGACAGCAGCTGTGCCCACGCACACCACTTCCTTGCTCACCACCATATCATTACACATGCTGTTTTCCTCTCTTTGGGATGTATGGAAAACTTCTATTCATCCTTCAAAACCCACCTCTAACATTGCCCTGCCTTTCCTCTGAGAAGGCTTCCCTTCCACGGGAGCATGAGTCCCCTCCCCTCCGTTGCTCCTTCTTAATTCTGCCCTGCGCACAGTGGTTCCATGTCTCAAGTCCCTGGTGTGCGGTGCCAGCTCCTCTCCGAGCTCCCGGAGTCTGGCCAGGCCCCAGCATGGAGCGGCCTGTGAGCATGGATGTGGAATGAATCCGCGCGTGCGTGGGTGGGTCGGTCTCTGCAATCTCAGTAAACATCTGGCCACAGGGCCTGGCAGGAAGCTGACCTCGAGGGTACCACTCGGCTGGCAGCCGTCTATAAATACATTCTAAACTCGGACCAGCCCACATGCATTCCTGCTCCCGGAGTGCCCTCCCAGTGGAAGAAAGGCAGCCGGCGGCCCTCCAGGCCTGGCCGGGGTGGTCGCTCCTGGCGAGCGGGAGCATGCCCGCTCCAGGGTCAGCTCAGGGCCCCCGAATCCGATTGTTATGTGAACAAGCTCACCGGCAGGCCAGCGCCCAGGCTGCGTCTAGCTCTGAGAAAGGCTCCCGGTGCCGGCAGCGTGCTTTTCTTGGATGTCCAGGCTGTGTTTATGCCGGGCCGGTGCCTGGGGAATAATTAAAGTCTCAGAGGCTCCGGAAGGGCCTGCCTGCTGTTCGTAGGTGCTGAATCTGTGTGTGCAGGCCCGAAGCCTCCTGTGCCGTGTTGCCCGGGGCCTGTTGAGCGAGAGATTGAGGCTGGTGTTCAGGGGGCTGTGAGCTGAGCCCCGCAGGGCCCAGGAGACCCCGTCGTGTCGGGCAGGACGAGGGTCACGGGAAGGGTCAGCCAGGCTGGGGTCCTCAGTGTGTCCCCTCCTGGGCCCTCAGTCTCCCCACTCGCCCCGCAGCACAGCTGTG